ATTAATTATGCGCGATAGAACTTGTTGGCAAACGTACTGTAGGCAATAATATTATATGCGCAATGTGGCTTGTGTGCAATAGTTTGGTGTGTGCAAACGTACGTCCGTCTCTTAATTTTTCATTTGTGCACAATAGAACTTGTAAGCAATCTTACTGTAGGCAATAATTTTTGTGCGCAAACGTGCGCATTCGTCTTTTAATTTTTATTTGTGTGCAATAGAGCATGTAGGCAATCATACTGTAGGCAATAATATTATGTGTGCAATGTGATTTGTGCGCAAGTGTCATGTATGCAAACGAGCGTTCGGCTTTTAATTTTTTATTTGTGCGTAATACAACTTGTAGGTAATTGTTCTGTAGGCAATCATTTTTGTGTGCAAATGAAATGTAGAAGTTGAATGTCAGCAATCGATATTGTAGACAATTAATTTGTAGGCAAACGGGACGTTTCCGTTTCTTGGATAATCCTATTCATAATAAAGAATGAAGGAAGAAAAAACAAAATTTCTTCGCACGTATACATAGGAAAATTTTACTGCTTATAGAAAAGCAATTATTCAATTTACTTCCCTTTTTTTAAGAAAGTTGAAAGGCAAAATATGTTTATTAAGAATTCACTGAAACTTGCATTATATTGCATATAAATTGAAATATTAATTAATTACTCGTACAATTAGAAAAAGATTAGTCATTTGAGAATTGAGATATTTGAAATTAAAGTTGACACTTAATATATGTTTTTTGCAGTTGACGTGCTATTTCTAATTTATATTTTTAATTTCTTTTAAACTAAAATTAAAGTTTTAATAAAAAACTATTATGATATTAAAGACTAATATACTGACATTATACACAAATTTCAGAATTTTTTGTTTAGAAAATACAACAGTGAATATTTCATATATATAATTTATGATAACACTTGAAATATATATACATATATACCCCACATAACATTATAATATACATAGCATATTCCATGTATAAACATCTATATATATTGTGTCGTGCCCGTGTTGCCAGGACACGAAAAAGAGTTCGAGATCGGTGATGCGGGCGCGGCAGGGTGTGTGGCGGTGGATAAAATGTAGTAAAGATTTGGAGTACTTCTTGTAGTATTAAATATAAAAAGGTTT